AGAATATATCTCTTTTAATTTAAATAAATAAAAGAGTTTGATTATGAAAAGATATATTTTTTTTTTTTTACATCCAAATGAGTTATATAAAAAAAATATAATCTTTCTTGTCCAATTCAAAATTTAAATATAAAAACTCAAATTTAAAATCTTTAACTCTTAATTATTGAATCACTTTATTGAGCAATAAAAAGATACTTTTTTTATTTACAATCTTTTCCGACCATTGTCTCTTTCTCTATTTTGAAAATTTTTCCAACACAATGTACAGCTCCTTTAACGCAGACCAAACAATCTGCAAAATGTTAAAGAGTCTCTTAGTCTCGTCATTTACTGAGATAGATTGACCCGTCAAATATCAAGACATCGCGGGGCTTGACCGGGAAAACATTCGTGGCTTAACGCAACTAGGAAGTCCTTAATGCTAAGATTAGGAGGTAATATATTCTTGGCAAACCCATTACAAACAAAATTTCAGATTGCTTCTAAATCACTTCCACCACCCTGAATTGGGTGAAAATAACATTTCCCTCATCAATGGATGGCCAAGATGAAGGAATGAACACGTGATGGGATGGGGCAACAAGGCTTCTATTCCTCCCCAAGACGTAGCAAAAAATTATGATGGAAAATTGAAAGAACTGAAAAATGAAAAACTTGATCAGGTCACATGTATTTTCTATTTACCATCATATGCACCCTGCCATGATGAAAAAAAAAAAGGGACACTGGGTGGGAACTAGGAAAGTCATGGGGGTTCCTCTCTAAGATGCTTGGTTATCCTAACCTTCCTGCATCTTTGAATTAATTAGCATCACATCCCTAACTTCTCTAGGTACATCACCAAGTTGGCTGTCATTGGCAATGCCCCTAACATCGTCCTTGAGATCCCCTTCGCCATTGAAATCTGCAGAATCCACATGACAAGAACTATGTGAACCCAAAAACCCATCGTCATTATAACGAAATCGCTTCACCCTGCTATAAATATCATAATGCTTTGTGGATGCAGTGCATCATATTTATAATCACGCTTCCTCCTGTTATTTCGAGGGCCAAATGAAACTGGCAGTCTCTGATCCATTGCCAAAGAAGAACCCTGATGATAAGACCGTGCCCCAAAATAAAACATCCCATCTTTTCTATTAATAGTTCTTCTGGAATTGTGGTTGCGAACCATGACTTCTATGCATTGATTAGGGGGTATATATGAATAGTCTTACAATCTCTTTTACTAGGTCCAAACTTGAATGAGTTGAGATCAAAACTTTCATAATATATTTTATCAAAATCCAAAGATAAATTTTAATAGATAAAAAGTTCACAAAGAGACAAAGTGATAAATATTATTAGTTGGTTTTGAATAAATTTTATAATATTACGTAGCAACACAAGATGTAAATTACCCCTAAAATTATTGCATTAAAGCAAATCCCCATCTGAAAATTATATTTATGCAATTTGTCATCTCAAATTTTCATTTTCAAAAAGTTGACTTAAATTTAACATTACCATTAACTTTCCATTAGAGTTCAAGAGCAATCATTTAATAGAGTTTAACAAAAATTATTAAATTTTGACTAATTTCTTAAAAATGAAAATTTTATGGAACAAATTGCATCAAAAATTTTTTTAGATGATAATTTACTTCAATGCAATAATTTTGAAAAACAATTTGCATATTTGGCCTCACATAACAATTTAATTATATTTATTTTTGGGGGCACAAATCAACAGCTAGTTATGTAGAACTTATACATCATTGTCCATCTTTTATTATTTTGCAGAAGGGAAAATAAATTCAGTACATGTAATGATGATCTCGAACTTAAGGAATCGTTTCAGGCGGATAACATTTGGGAGACCGAGTACATGGTCGGTCGAGATTCGGGATTGGCATTTAAGCATGAAGATGCCACCTTCATGATCAACCTGAGCTTGTCTTGAACCGCTGGCGATGGAGGTGGAAGCCTCTGATCCAAACCCAACACATTTTCTGGCAGAACATGTGTTTCCGAGGACGAAGACAACAGTGAAGAGATAACATCACCCGGATGTATTCCCTTGATCAGTTCCAATGCTAGCACTCCAAAGCTATACACATCACATTTCTTAGTAACCTTCATTGTATAGGCAAGCTCTACAAGGAAAAGAAAAACATCGTTAGTTAATTACCAAATCGTATGTTTATCTACCTCTACAAGTTTTTAAAACATGAACTTGATTACCTGGTGCAATGTATCCATATGTGCCGACTATTTTAGTCCACGAGGCTGAACCTATGCCAAGAAGCTTAGCAGTACCAAAATCGGAAACATGAGCTTCAAATTCTGAGTCCAGCAGAACATTGTTGCTTGATATGTCTCGATGAATGATTGGTGGTGAGCAATCATGATGCATATAGGACAAGGCATAGGCGATCCCCTTTACAACATTGATTCTCTTCTCCCAGTCAAGTTCTTTTGCTACTTCATCATTGCTGAGGATTGTGGCCAAGCTACCCTTTTCGTGATACTTGTAAATTAAAAATGAGTGCTTTGGAGCAGCACAGAATCCATAAAGTTTCACAATATTCCTGTGTTGGATTTGAGTTAGCGCCCTTATCTCGTTCTGGAACTCTTTTTGATCTGCTAGTTCAATATCATTAGATAACGAGTGGAATTTTTTCACAGCCACTGTATCCCCGGATGAAAGTTTTGCTCTGTAGACGCTTCCTGATCTACCCTTTCCAATGCAATACATAGAACTAAAATCCTTGGTTGAATTTATGATTTCTTCATACAAGAATCTACCATCAAAGTCAATGGCAGATATTGAAAGCAGTTTCCCGTTATTTAATCCACTTTCTTGTTTCTCAAGTGAATCTCTAGTTCTTCTGGAGCTGAAGAAGATTCCGAGAACTGCTAATGAGAGAATGACAGCTCCTGAAAGAGGGCAGACAATAACAAAAATGATATTCTTGTTCTTGTGGCCCTTCCGCAATACAGGAGCTCCGCAAGGCGTTAATCCTCTAGCATTGCCACACAAGCCCTTGTTCCCTTGTAGCGACGCATTTCGAATTGCTAGGCTGTCAGGAACAGAACCTTGCAACTGATTATAAGAGAGGTTTAAATTCACCACGCTCTGAAGACCTTCAAGTTCTTTTGGTATCGTCCCTGTAAGCAAGTTATGACTCAGATCAAGATCTGACAGCAGAAATAATTTGCCCATCTCAATTGGAAT